TAGCTCATCGTATAGACAAAGACTCCAGAACATTTTCCAACTTCCTGAACCAGTGAAGGTCCGGGTATAGAATAGAATATTGATCTTCAGTAACCCATGCATGTCGTAAGAGGCGACTAACGGGATCGGGTGGTCAGGCTCGCTGACTTAGTTGACACATGCCATCGGTTCCCAATTGCGCAAATCGATACTCATGCTGTTGATCACTTGAATGTCTGGTCCAGACTCGACAGACCGCCGCCATATAGCTGGAATATTGCTGAGTAAACTTACTCACTCACTCCAACTTCCTTGGTCAGAATGTATTAGAAAGGCCACGGGGTTGTACAACCCTTCAGGATCTTCCCAAAATATAATCCCGCCCCTACCCTACCCTAATAATTACCCGTATGTACAAGACCAGACTCAACAGCCTAAACCCCAATAGACGCACGTTTAAGATTTTTAACTGGACCAAACAGATGACATCACGAAAGAAAAATAACTGGATAAAACGCTTACACGTGAAGCTGACATCACTAAACTTGACTGTTTTGGAAGAAGTTCATAATGGATTGCGCGTGAAGGAACTTGTACACAAAGTTCAGAGTGCAGTACGAGAGGGATATTACGAGAACTGGAAGAAGAAGATAGATTGACCGACCAGTCGAGATGGCAAGGAAGGTAATGAACTCCGTCATTACAGAACTGTTAAAGCCCCATTCACATGCACAAAATTTACTCATGTAAGTAAATTTTCACATGTGTAAACATACATACATATGTAATAGTAAATTTACTTTGCGTTCTCATTGAATTGATGTAGTGTGAGTAAACTTGAAAGTGTAAATAATAAATGTATTAGATTGTCTCATTTTTTCTCTGAACTTCAACAGAGAAAGATGTTCTCTTATCACTGGCGCTTAAGACACAGTATCAGATAGGTACTGCTCTAGCAGTAGGTCTGTCACAAGATAGACCTCTCTGGAAGAAAGAAAGACAGTCTGTTTGGTGGAACGACATGAATAAATCTAATGACGACAAAGAAAAGCTAGTGACCAAGCTGTTCGCCAACCTTTGGATGCACGAACGAAAGTTGAAGCCATACTTTATGGCTTCAACGTCAGAATATAGAACTATGGGAAATGTGTTTGGCGTTGGGAAGTTAACCGTTTGTAAATGGTTTCATGAAGTTTGTCAGACCATATGTGATGTTTGCTTCCAGAATAATTAACTTTTCACCTAAACGAAGATGACATGACACAATTTACTCACAGTGTATTTTTGCACATATGTAAATATACTTTTGCACCTGGTCCTGACCACATGTAAATTTGCACCTAGTGTATATTTACATACGTGAGTAAATGCGTTCACATGACACATGTACACACGTATGTCAAGTTTGCTCATGTGTGTATTTATACATAAGTGTGCAAACAGGTGCATGTGAACGGGGCTCTAGATGAATTATGGAGCGGAACGTTGTTTACATCCCACAAGGCCACAGAAGAGCGATAGTCATGTTTAGAAGCGGTGTTGGCCCGTTATTAGTAGATATAGGTCGCTACAATAACATGCCTTTAAGGGTGAGAGTGTGTTTTAGCTGTTTGAATGTTGTAGAAGATGAAATGCATGTACTTTTATACTGTCCCTTTATATCAGTCTTTTACAAAATGTCTGTTGGATAAGTGCATAGTTTTAAATGGCAATTTTATATATTTTACAGATGAGGAAATGCTATCGTTTTTAATGTCTAGTCCTATTTTATTTAAATTAACAGCCAAGACCTGCTCTGATATATTAAAGGAACGACGCGTTCACCGTTATCATTAGTTTAATATTTGTAAATTTCTTTGTATATTTCGTATAATTTTATATTTGTAAATAGTCTCTCATAATCCCATAAGGGATGCCTCATTTCATATAACAGTTTGTTTGTTTTTCTTTTTACGATGTTTTTAAATGTACAATGTGAGGTGAGACTTCGAAATAAACAATCTGTCTGTCTGTCTGTCTGTCTATATTGCACCTGGAACATAGTTTCACAATGAACGACACAATGCTATATGTTTATGTAAATGTTTGGTTGATATTTATACCCTTGCAGATACATAGGTATGTATACAAGATACTCAGCGTAGTCGGGAAGTGTGGCCACTGTAGCAGTGAAGTGACTATTACCATCATTATATTTATTTCTATAATCACTGCCTTTGAATTTGTACTCCCCAGCCCCCACCCACCCTATCCCACCCCAACCCACGCTCTCTCTCTCACACACTCTCTCTCCCCGGGGCGGTGGGGTAGTCTCGCGGTTAAAGTGTTCGCTCGTCACGCCGAATACATTGGGTACAATGTGTGAAGCCCATTTCTGGTGTCCCCCGCCGTGATATTGCTGGAATAATGCTAAAGCGGCGTAAAACCAAACTCACTCACTCACTCTCTCCCTCTAAATATAGAGCGCACCGCGTCCTCCTAACCGTCAATAAGTACAATCTATTACACACAACAATGTATATTCGATACGTGTCAGATAATTCATTATGCAGCAACACACAGCCCATTGTGTTATGGCTACATTCTATGGTGATGGAAGTGTTTTCTGCAAACATGAACAGTAATGTTTCCGAGTTGTTCTAATACCGGCTGTCAGTCGGTATTAACAACGCTCTTTGATATGTGGATCTGTCAACAAATACCACTACAGGGTATATACAGTCCAAACACAGTGGTGTAAATCCATTTTCACTGGTGGCCGCAACCATTCACTGTTGCCGTATTTAGGACGGTAACACACTGCTATTATCGACTGCTTTTATACTCCGTTATATGTATAATTCGTATGAGCCTGTGATGGTATTCAGACTGTCGCTATTCAACATTAATCGAACTGGCATCATTTATTTGTCATATTTGATCACAGGTTTTCCTTGAAATAGAATTGATTCCACATGTGTGATTGGAAAGGTTGTTCATAACGATTAACACAGTGATATATTGAGGCTGGTTGACAGTGATGTCCTGTAATTATTCTTCACGTTATCACAACCAGCACTCGGTAAGTCCTTAGTTCTGTCCAAGTTTCTAGTTATTCAACTTTGTCCAACGAAAAATCAGTTTTGCTGACTGTGAAGTTTTATAACGTCTAAAGCTACCCTCGCTTTCTGTTTTACATATTCATATTTCATGCAATCTGAATGGATTGGCAAACAAATTATGATTCGTCTTTGTACTGATCAAGTGTATGATATATTGCATGACATACGAGCTTACGTTTACTGATTTGATGGCAAATAATACGGCATTTAATCTCATAGACTGCGAGATGTGATGAGCCACCGATTAACATTTCGTCTTAAGACCGAATCTAAATGTATGATATAAATATCAGTTCTAATGGTGTAATAATTTGGACAAATAAATAAAGAATGGAAATTCAGCCAGTAGAGTCACATCTTTTGAAAGTTTTCCTTGAAAAACGTTGTTCACACTTCTCAGACAATTCACTATGAGCGCAGCCTATTTGTTACATCATATTTCAATATCAATATTTCGGTGATAGCAAGGCATTTATGCAGCAGTTTAAACTTCGGCTTTCGGATAATCTCAAACAATCATGGTCTGCCACTGTTCATAACCTTTCAGATTCATTTGCTTACAAACGCTTTAAATCATTACTGCATGTAGAAAGCTACCTATCATTATCTATCTCTCCCTATCTAAAATCTCTCCTAGCAAAGTTCAGGTGTAGCAATTTTGGGTTAGGTATAGAGGTAGGAAGATATAATGACATGCCAAAGGCTGACAGAGTCTGTTTTTACTGTAAATTAGATAATATGAACTGTATTGAAGATGAAACACATGTCCTTTTTGATTGTAAATTATATTATGATGCTAGAAACAGGTTTATTACTCCCTTTTTGTATGATAATGTCAGGAAACAAAACATAATACACATACTTAACAGTAAAGATAAAAATATTATCATAAATGTTTGTTAAGTTTTGAAATGTATACATAACACTAGAGCTGCAACTGTGAAAACATAAACCTGTCACTTTTATGTGCGCTTATTTCAACTAATTTTTTTTATTGTGGGCCTTTGGCCTTCATACTGAATAAAATGTCAGTCTGTCTGTCTATTTCAATATCAACAAATGTGTTCAGAGTACAAAGCACATCCTTTGTACAACTATTTTGCAACACGAAGATGAATTCACTTGTTTATATGTCAAAAAAAGTTTGAATGAAAAATCTAACATGAAAACAGCTGTTCATTTTAAGACAAAACCCACATGAAATCTCTAAGGAAACCACAGCAATGTTTTATTTTAGACCTGGAATACCAAGGTTCCTTTCGATGAAATACCGCAAACAGACATTTCGAAGCCCGCTTGTTTGTTGTTTAACGCCGCTTGCCTCAATATTCCAGTTATACGTCAGTGTTAGAGGTAGAGTTTGGTTTTACGCCGCTTTTAGCAATATTCCAGCAACATGGGCTTCACACATTGTACCCATGTGGGGATTCGAACCCGGGTCTTCGGCGTGACGAGCCAACGCTTTAACCATTAGGCTACCCCACCGCCCCGTTAGAGGTAAGAGCAGATAAATTATTTATATAACATATTGTATGATAGTTGCCAGTCCGATATGGAATCCTACAGCGCACATTTGAAGACATTTCTAGAGGTCCATGTTGTGCCATACATAACCGCTGGTAACAGATGGAAGGGGTTATGGGTAACCGAGAATAATGATCGATTGCTAATTTCCTGTGAGGGTTTAGGGCCACAGTATGACTCTATGACTAAGGTTTCCGAAACACTTCTAAAATGGTCGGGTTCAGTGACTTCACTGAGTGTGATCGTTCGTGCTATTCTTTCTCCATAATATCAATCACAGGATTGTCTGGTCCAGACGTTATATAACTGCAATATGTCAACAATCTGACAACAATCAATATAACCATCAAATGCCGATGTATATTTGGAATGGGCCAGTGACATGCCTTTCGTCCAGCCCTAAATAAACATACAATAATTGATATAATTCTGACTTTTCTACAGGTCGCCATGGCACGTTTGCAGCAGACGATCATCGGCATAACTTGGATTGTCGTCTTGTCCTTATTGCTGCTTCCTGAAGTTAGAGCGCAACATTTATTTGTGCGTATCTCCGATGCCGACAGAGCATTCACTTCCGGGACAGTCCTACACACTCAAAAGACACCCAGTGCTATTGCGTGTGGCATTGCATGTCGCCGGCTGGAAACGTGTCTCTCCTTCAACAGTCGACTGGAGTCTGATGCCACATTCACCTGTGACCTCCTATCCGACATCCCGCTGTCTCCCATGACGGACCTGTCTCCTGCCGCAGGGGCAGAGTACTATGAACAGGTGGGATGAGTGACAGAGTTTGGGTTAACCCCGGCTAAACAGTATTTCACTTACACCAAGGCCTGTGTGATTGGCTTGCGAGGATGCCTCGACGTGATGCGTAGACGTCTGGGCCCGGTTGTTCAAAACTCGGTTATCTTTTAACCAGCCGTTAAGTACATTTAACCGACTGTTACCTTATAACAGAGGGTTATCTTGTTGTTCAAAACTCTGTTAACTTTTAACAGGCTGTTAACGTGACGTTAAGTTAACACACCTAAGGACCGTCGCTAACTTTTTAACAGTGTGGTTAACTCGCAAATGGCGTTCATGGCTGACACTGCTTTCATGATGCCAGTTCAGCAAAGAAAGGATAGGGTGTATCGTGGACTGGACTTCGATATTGGAAATTATTCTGACGAAGAGTTACATACAAAACTGTAACTATGCACATCATAGGAACTAAAATACATGTTGTACAAGTACATGATGCCTACGTTTCAACTTTTAACACTTGTGGAAGGTTACTACACTAAATGTGTGAATTTCTTCTGTAAATATTATTCAAACAAACTCTTTCAAAGAATATAACACGTACACCCTATACCCACGTATGATATGATATTGAAAAAGGCTAAATGTAGATAATTAAATTAGTTTCATGAAACAAATATCCGAACGATTACATTATGATACTGAAAGTGTAATCGGCGGGATATGGTGATTGTATATACTCTTATTCTACCGACCTTCACCTCAGAGAAATTGCCAAATACACTCCCTTTTTAAGAAAGAGAAGAAGCCAGAAATGCCGATTATTACCGTTGTCGTTCTGCGTGATTTTGCGTCGGTCATGGCGTCACACAGCACAGAAACTTGACAGTTTCGTGTAAACACATCACATTCCTGTATTGTATCTATTTTTAATTTCCTATTTCTTGCTACTATGCTCTTCTCATGCAAATTGGGTGTCTGAAAATTTGAGAAAATGCTACACAGTGTAAAGTCTGAAATTGTCTTTGTTTACATTTCAAACAGGTGTTGTCTTTCGAGCACAGCATTTGTTTCCACCCACTATATCTTTCGTTTCACTTTATCTAGACACTTGGTATTGGTGACAAAGACCAGTTGTAATTAGATTCTAAAATGTATGAGGAATTTAGTAGGGCTGGGACGAGTAGGAAAAAATGGAATCGAGTACCCGCATGTACGTACCCGAATCAGAATCGAGTACGTACCCGGAAATGTAAGAAATACATTCGGGTCAGTATTCAATCACGATTTGACAGAGATTATTATAGAAAACTTGAACAGTTGGTAATAAGACATTAAAACTGACCTCACGCTATTTACTTTACGACTGTTTAACCAATATAGAGAGTAACACCATTACTTACATTCCTCGTTATAACAACGAACCTTTCGTTCCTGCTGTTACTGTAACTTAACTACTCACTGCTCATGCACAGATAAATTACAGTCATTAAAACTATGCTCCATTAATCGGACAATACCAATGATGTAAAAACCCGTGAATTTCCGGGTTAGTAACCCATGCTTGTCGTATGAGGCGACTAACGGGATCGGGTGGTCAGATTCGCTGACTTGGTTGACATATGTCATCGGTTCCCAATTGCGCACATCGATGCTCATGTTGTTGATCACTGGATTGTCTGGTCCAGACTCGATTCTTTACAGACCGCCGCCATATAGCTGGAATATTGCTGAGTGCAGCGTAAAACTAAACTAAACTCACTCACTCACTCAATGATGTAACTGTGTGTTACGTCAAAAATGAAAAAGACAAGCTATTGTCTGCCCTTGTCATTACAGAGCTCTCTCCCTTTCCGGATACTCGATTCCTAGAAATAGGACTCGATTCCAGCTGTACCCGACCCGGATTCCAGTACCCGAGTACCCGTCCCAGCCTTAGAATTCAGTGATTCATTTGTCGCCGCTGAATATGAAATATAAGTGATGTAATTGGCGTTTCAATACCGGCCTTCGCGAAACGTGATTTTGTAAACACTATCCAATAGGGCGCAAAGTGCACTTGGGTGTTCGTGTGAGTGTATTTATGAAAACATTTGAACACGATTCCAGGTTTATCGGCAACGTTTCAGAATTATTAGTGATTTTATGAAAAACTGATATCATTGTTAATTAATATACTATTTTTGAAAGTCTATACTCCAAGTAATTATCCGATTTTGTTTTGATATGTCCGTCTGGCATCCCTTCCCATTTTAATTATATTTTTACTAATCATTTCAGCAATAGGCCTAATTTCTTTTTCATTCTTCGAATGTTTTAATTGAAGCAAATCATCTTTTAAAAATGCTATATAAATTGACGAAAACTTAGTTAGCGTAAACATTGCTCTCGCAACTGATGTGTAGGAAAAGAAACAAAACATTATTATGTATCTATTTCTGTTGTGAGTGATATGCAGGCCTACTTCGTAGTCACTTTGATTAAATGTTATATTTGAATATCGAAACCTTTTTGTCACAGCGAACACAACACTATCTCTTGTCACATTACACGATCATATTTGGAATTTTTAACTTATTTTATAACAATATCTGAATGCTAATGTTATACACTGATAGGTTCATATAAGGGATACACTGGCACAATAGTATTTCTCTGCCGAATCGTTGCAGCTTTCTATAATACACTTATGAAATATAATACATGTTTTCCGTCCTTGAAGACATTGAAAAGAACTATCTATGCATTAAATGGAGGTTCACCTGATTAATGGGTATCGAGGAAATTATGTTCATCTGCTACAGCGTTCTATAATTCACTTATGAAATATACTCTCCCAAAAAAGAAACGCATCATGAAAATAGCAATTGCATGTAGCAATGAATTAAAACGTGATTCATTTTACAAAAGGTTTTGCTCTGTTTATGAGTCCTAAGTTGTTTATGTTTTGAAACATCACAACAAAACGCACCATCCGTAAAATACCCGTATTTAAAAGCATGATTTTCAATTTCGGCGTGTAGTGTCACAGAATACACAATTCACATGTAATGCACGTAGAAGTTGGGGATCAGATAGTCTCAATGATGGGTATAAAAGGTTGATCGCTGTCTGGCGATTATTCACTGTATTTGGAATATTGTTGACGAACGCAAAATGCCACGTCTAAATGAAGCCAACCGTCATATCGCCATTGGTTTGCTTGAAGGTGGCCAGTCTCAACGTGCAGTTGCCCGACGCAGGAATGTTCACCAAAGCACCATTTCACGGCTCTGGGAGAGATATCGCCGGCAGAATGCGGTAGCAGATGCCCCTCGTAGTGGGCGACCTCGAGCGACCACTGCGGCGCAGGATCGCTACATCCGGGTACATCACCTGCGTCATCGAACAGCTACGGCGACCAGTACCGCTCGACAAATACCCGGATTGAGGAGGCTTTCTGCACAGACCGCCAGGAACAGGTTTCCGTGCCAGAAGACCTTATTTTGGCCCTGTGCTTCGACAACAACATCGTCGACATCGAGTTCAATGGTGCACCAACGTTCAGGCCTGGAACCTACCGAATTGGCGTAGAATCTGGTTCAGTGATGAATCACGATTTCTATTGGAACGACGCGATGGAAGAATGCGGGTGTACAGACGTCGACGTGAACGTTTCGCCGAGGCATGCGTTCCCCAGGTGGACAGATTCGGCCGGGGCAGTGTTATGATGTGGGGAGCGATCACCTGCCGTAGGAGAAGTGATTTGGTGATGATCCAGGGCAACGGTTCTGTGACGAAATCCTACGCCCACACCTCCTTCCAATCATTGAACGCCAGAGGGAGTTGTTTCAACAGGACAATGCCAGGCCCACACAGCACGTCACACTAGAGACTTCCTCCAGAACCACAACATCAATGTGCTCCCCTGGCCCTCAAGATCACCGGACTTAAACCCGATCGAACATCTGTGGGATGCCCTGGACAGACGGGTGCGACGCCGTAACCCTCAGCCCCAGACACTTCAGCAACTCGCACAGGCACTACAGGCAGAGAGTGGGCTGCGATTGGGCAACACGAGATTCTGAGACTTATTCGTTCGATGCCGAGGCGATGCCGTGCAGTTCTGGATGCCCACGGTGGTCACACAAGGTATTGACTTCAGCGCCACCACACGCCTCCATGTGACACTCAAACTGACTTTCCTTGAGTTGGTGCCAAAGACGGATAAGTCTGGATTCCCAGTGTGCAATTTCGCTATATTTCATTAACTCATAAAGCCTACAAGATGTTTCAAAATAAACATAAAAATACAGTTGAATTCCTATATGCGTTTCTTTTTTGGGAGAGTATATAATACATGTTTTCCGACCGTGAAGTCATTAAAAAGAATTACTAGTATGCATTTTCTGCAGTCACTTGTGAATTGAACTAAATGAAGGTGCATCTGATTAATGAGTATCGAGGAAATTATGTTCATCTATAAATTAGACGCAGCTTCATGTTTTTCAAGACATCTTTCCGGAATATGCGTCTGTGAAGGCGTTCAGATAATGACGATATTGCACAGTATTATTCATGAGATTCCTGTCAACAGTAAGGTCGGATAATAGATCGATTTTTATTCAGCAGTGTTGGCCCTGAGGCCTATAGTATAATTACAGTTTGATCTGCTTGCACGCGGTGCTAGTAACATATTAAGTTTCTTTTGGCATTGAATGCATATTTCAGATAAAAGCTAATGGTATTATTGTCACAACATCTATATTGTTTGATGTTAAAAGATTTGGCAATGTGTGTTCATACATTACAATTTTTTTGGAACTATGGGATATATGGAAGCTAACCAGTGACGTTAACCACACTGTTAAACTTTGACGGCGACGTTAGCTAACGGCATGACTAACCATGTTTTGAACAACGCATATTTAACGTTCGGTTACCTAACGGCCGGTTAAGGATTTAACGCGGCCGTTAGGAGTTAACCGGCGGTTAAGATAACCGAGTATTGAACAATCGGGCCCAGAACTGGGATACGACCAGAACTGGGATAAACAGTCCACAATTTCGAAAAAAACCCTATTTACTGCAGCAATGCTCCCTGTTAACTCTAGAACTTAAGGCGATCTATGCGCGGAATAAGATTTAGTTTGTTTTTCTGGGGATACACTAAAAATTATCAGTTACATAATTCCATATTCCTATGCAAATATGTAGCTCACATTTAATTCTCCAATATAGGTTGGAAGCACCTTCAGAGTTTCTTATTAATTTTGTACTCGTCAGTTATTCAATCGTTTATATCGTGTTGCCAATTAGAAAGTCTTTACTATTACGAAACTGATTTTATTTAAGTTGTAGTGACTCCGATCTGATTACGATAGAATTTCGAGGTGTCATAACATGACCACTGCGGCAGCCATATTGCAAGTATCATCAGTTCTGTCACTGATGGGGCGGTGGGGTAGCCTAATGGTTAAAGCGTTGACTCGTCACGCCGAAGACCCGGGTTCGAATCCCCACATGGGTACAATGTGTGAAGCCCATTTCTGGTGTCTCCTGTCGTGATGTTGCGGGAATATTGCTAAAAGCGGCGTAAAACCAAACTCAGTCAGTCAGTCAGTCTGTCACTGATCCATTTCTTCGCGTATCAAAGTGTTTTTCAACATACCTGTTGTTGTGAAACTGTGGAATCACCTTTGACCTTTGTGGTCCTATATTTAGTTCTTGAATGTAAAGAGCAGTGTGGAATGTTTTCTAAACTTCAAGGTACGTCTGTTTGGTGGGGTCTCATTAAATACCTTACTACGGCCGTTTTGATGTCATCACATTTGGAATGTTTCATCTGATCTGTAACAATCAAGTCAGCTACATTTCCGAGGGTATTTTTCAGACATGTCAACCCTTCCTCAATCCAACGACAGCTGCAGAGGTCAAGGAAATGGGTGTGGTTAATACCGGCCTCGTGTACGTGGCGAGTAACAACGGCCTCGACGTGACAATCGTCAACATGTCTGCCACCTATGAGATACTTTCTGTGTCCCAAGTGGCCACGGTGGCACAGATGAGCAGCGGGAAGTTTACACAGATACATGGTATGGCTAAAGTCCATCTGGGGAACGGAACCGACCTTGAAGTCTTCATAATAGGTACTGTACTTCATACGTGATGTATACATTATAACTTCTCTATATACTAATTCACAAACCAGAAAATCGTGCGCGTTAGACACACGTGCCCCGTCAATCAAACAGTTCGGCAATGAGGAGAATCAAGTATCATTATCAGACAAATACCAATAGTTTGGGCCACTTTAGCCTCTTCTATACTAGTAGCTTGCGCCTGCATAGGCGGATCCAGGAATATTCAAAGTGTGTGTGCGCGCGCGCGTGTGCGTGCGAGCGTGCGTGTTTTCAGGGAGGTTGAACCCCCTGAAGCCCACCTTGGCTCCGCCAATGTAAAACATTAATTTCAATGTGGTCTGCATCCTCGCTAATCGCCAGGGTATACGTTACGATCACTCTCCACTATACCCTGGATGCATCCACGGCTTGGCCCGATGATTATATTACCTCTCTTTGCTGGCTCCGCATTCTCACAGTAGCCAATCAGTTTAGCAGCCGTTACATCCGAGCTTGCCAGTGTCAACACAAATAGCGGTCGCAGTCGCGAAGGTTTGTTCGCAGTGCCACTCAGATTTTTGAGGAAATAATACAGACAAATTGACAGATCTAAAACTTTAAAAATATTTTTTTTAAAAACTCCTTCCAACTCTTTCGGAGTACCTCTGCATCAATTGTGTTGCCAAGTTTAAACGGTTAGATAAGTTAAGAATCGAAAGTAAGTTGTGATTGGTTCGCTCAACTTCCCACCTGATTGGATTAACAAGCCAGCCAAGGGAGGTAATAAAATCATCGGGCCAAGCCGTGGATGCATCCAGGGTATAGTGGAGAGTGATCGTAACGTATACCCTGGAGATTATCGTGGATGTGTGGTCTGTAGTCATTTTCAAAAATGTGTGTGTGTGTGTGTGTGTGTGTTCGAACTCGAACCCTCTCTTGATCCGCCAATGGCCTGTCTCAAACTTAAAGGCGGTCATCGAGTGCCGGTTAATCTCACAACGAAGCTTACTTTATCATTATGTGCCTCAAGGGATCACAAGTTCTCCACTAATACGTACAGCTAACCCAGATAAGGTCACGTGATACTTGGGGCATCGCTAAGTTTCTGCGATAAAATAACTGAAATAAACCAACCCCTCCACGTCCTCCTATGCATATCCGTTTAGTTCTGATAATGTAAGTGGTTGATGGGCGCATCTGTGTGCATTCATTTCCATTGTTGTTTAACGTCGTTATGTCATGTGGATTTGTCATTGATACCAACAAGTGTTTGCTAATCAGGCTTCGTATCTACAGGGTCTGATGTCAGGTGCACTTTCGAGATACCAGACCTGGAGCCGTGTTTCACATCCCGTCAATTGCCTATGCCCACCATCTTTGGTACCGATGACATCACGGCTTTGTTAGAAACCAAGACCCATGTCGGATTGATGGCGTTCAGCTACTCTAAGATCCTCATCGTTGACATCTTGTCTCCCGGAACTTGGGTCGTCAACACGACCATCGACCTGTCTCCTGGCAACCAGCCGCCCGGATGGACGAACATCCCACGAGGACTGGTTGGTGCCGCTTGGCTCGTCAGGGAAGACACCACGGCGGTGTACGTCTACGACACGGCGTTGCTGATAACCAAACATTACTACGTTGTGTACGACTTCCCCAACGATAGGATACTGAAGAGGGGCCACCTGTGTGCAACAGATTAAGAAAGTACTATCGTAAAATCAGACAAATGGTTTGTTTTCTCTTATAAATTAATAAACAACTAGAAGAAGGAACCGTCCATAATCTATGCCTAGGATGATGATGATTTTTATGGAGAAGCATGTACAAAGTGAATTCCTCCCCTACCCCCACCCCCATTAAAATGTATGTACAAAATAAGTACCTGCATGTCATGTACAAAATCAATGACCCCCCCTCTCCTTCCCATAGTTTCTAAGCATAATTGTAAACATAAATTTATGTACAAAATTGCTGCCAAATTACGAGTGTACAGAATTGCCCCCTCCAGCTTCACAGAACAAAATGGGTGCCCCCCCCTCCTTAAAATCAACATCACCCCCCTAGCCATAAATTATTAACGGTCCCTAAAACTGAAATATTCAATAACTACAGCATCATCTACCTATTTCTCTTTGATTGTTTGCCTATGCTATGTGCCATTTCAACCGAGAACATTTCACAGTACGAATGGAACATGCGATAAAGGTTAAAGATCGAAATCTTAACTATGACTCCAGAAACCTGCAATTGTAACCTCATTTTAGTAATAAATACAATTTATTCACATGTCAGTGTTATGAAATGCAGTCAAACACCATTGTGTCGAACTATCATGTGTCGAACGGTCAGTTGTCTCTAGGTACAGTGCACTCTGTCTAATTCGGACTAAGACTAACATATTCGGACTAAGACTAACATATTCGGACTAACATAAACTCACTCATTCAGACTTACGGCGGATGGCTGCATTGGTTGCTAATTATTGTCATCCTCGAGGTCCGCACACATATGCCGCAGATGTGGAGTGCCTGGCTGTAACAAGTTCCCAAACTCACCCATACTCAAACCCACCAGGAACAAACAATGACTGTAACAAGTTCCCACCCTCAACTCTACTCAAACCCACCCGGAACAAACAATGACTGTAACAAGTTCCCATCCTCACCCATACTCAAACCCACCCGGAACAAACAATGACTGTAACAAGTTCCCATACTCACCCATACTCAAACCCACCCGGAACAAACAATGACTGTAATAAGTTCCCACCCGAAACTCAACTCAAACCCACCCGGAACAAACAATGTCTGTAACAAGTTCCCATCCTCACTCATACTCAAACCAACCCGGAACAAACAATGACTGTAATAAGTTCCCACCCGAAACTCTACTCAAACCCACCCGGAACAAACAATGACTGTAACAAGTTCCCATACTCACCCATACTCAAACCCACCTGTAAAACACGAAGGCTGTAACATACTCCCACCTTAGCCCCAGTTCGAACCCTAGAACATACAATGGCGGTAACCTATTCCCATGTTAGTCCCTATTGGAATTCGAATGGAACACACTATGGCGGTAACAAGACCCGATATAAGCCTCTACTAACATCAGACAATGCTATTTAGAAAGTGGTCAATATCTTATGTTTGTGATCACACCTTAAAGGGCCAGTTCTAAAAGGCATTGTGTGTTCACACCACGGACCATGGGAGAGGTGCCAATTTCGACTTGTCAGGGGGGTACCTGGTGTCAGACTTCCATTTTTGCAAGTGTCGGTGGTTGAGTGGGTTAGACTTTGTGTGCTTCCGATTACTTGGCTGACTCTGAATATGTGCGTTTAAAATCCGGATGGGACTCATCTTCCCCTGAGTGTGATTCCAAATGTAAGATATGTTTTTCCATTTAAGACCTGGAACTCAGACACTTGAGGCTTCAAATTCCTACCTCAGCCACTACTCGAACTCCACTTGAATTCAGACAGGAAAGTAAGCACAACCCCACTGAGCAGGTGCTCGAACCTCTCCATGGATATACGTCACCTGTTCACCCCACTACATACGCCAGTCACGTGATGATAAAAGCACGGCCGTGCGTATGAAATCAATGAATCTTGCACCAGAAATTCTGCTCTTTTACTGGACTGAACAGTCAAACAACATTATGTCTGCCTGACTTTCCGAACATAATGTAATGCTATTGTAAATTATCATGCTGCACCTATAATTGTCACGTCAGCCGGCCACTCAGTTCGTATTACTTCGTAAAACTTTCTCTCATATCAAATATTTAGCCGTATGCTTTCACAAACGACTTGTCTACTCCATGTGAGTACTTTTGTCTCGAATGTTTCAAATTGCTCTGTATTTTCTTCCCAGGTTCGCTGGTGCATGCGTAAAATATTTAGTTGCGCATGCGTTCTACTTTGATCAGTTGTTTTCGAAGGGCCATTATGGTGCACGCATTGACTGCGTAGCGCTTCTCTCGTCTGACACACACACTTTTCATGTTCAAGCTGTACAGAGTGTACTTGCTGTATCTACAGACCTGGAAATAACCGGTGAGTGGAAGGTAGTCTACCCATACTTTGTATCCATTTACATGTGATATAAAAAGGTTGTGAATTGTCCGTCTGCTGCATCTCATGGTAGGTTAGACCTGGCCATTATGGTCTTCACCAATATTAACTACCTTGTACTACCCATTTTCCAATCTGATTTTCACCAAATGTGAAGTTTCTTATTTGTTCAGTATATAAAGTAGCGATATTTGCTTCATGTGGGTCATCGACTGAAGCATCATTTATATTTGAGTTGTTTGCCATTGTCACATTCAGAAGTTAATGTTACCAGGGGTCCAGTGGTCTCCAACTTCCAATTCTTTGAAGTTGGTGAGCAATCACAGCGGTTAAGTCGAACCCACTAAAAGAATGTTTGAGCCTACCGTGATTGGCTGCGCTTTTAGACCACGTGGCCATTCACGTGGCCTTAGTTTAAGATCCTCCTTGGATGTAATCTAAACTCCACTAATCTGCCCTTAGTCACCATCGACCTGCTGATTTTAATATCTTGTGAAACCATAGTTGACAGTTTTCATATTCAATATGGAGTATTGGACTTACCAGCCACGTTCGTGTTCAACATAGCAGCACGATGCACTTAGTCATTACTAGCGAAATCAGAGAAATGACATATGTCCATAAAACAATACACACAAAACAGAAATTGATTTATTTTCCTTGTTTACAGTTCACATAACGACATGAAGACCTTGACCCCTCTCACGCTGCTTGCATTCCTATGGCTGTCAAGGAAAGTCACCGGCTTTTCTCAAAGTTTCTTTGTGCGCATTTCCGATACCGACAGATCCTTCACTTCCGGTACTGTCATAGGGACAATGAACGTACCCAGTCGTAGTAATTGCATCACAGAATGCCTTCGCATTGGGAGCTGCCTCGCAGTCAACATTGGACCGGAAGCAGATAATGCCGTCACGTGTGACCTTCTGTCTGACATCCCAGTCTCCCCTATGAGGAACCTGACTGTTACACCAGGGATTGACTACTTTGAAAAGGTGGGTACTTGAGACAATATGTCAGCAATATGTCGGCGATACACGAAAGCTTGAGTGAGTGAGTGAGTTTGCTTTTACGCCGCTATTAGCAATATTCCAGCAATATCACGGTGGGGGACACCAGGAATGGGCTTAACACATTGATCCCATGTGGGGAATCGAACCCGGGTCTTCGGCGTGACGAGCGAACGCCTTAACCACTAGGCTACCCCACCGCCCCACGAAAGCTTGAAGCCAAGCTGCAAGTTGAACATGACAAAATACGTCACGCTGGGATTATTTTTCTCTCACGGCACGACACATGCCCCATTTCAGAACAGTGTATAGGCATATCTTTCAAGTCTCCCGTACTCCGTATATCAGAGACTGACAATTTCCACATTATCCCAGCAAATGCTCACAACATGTCAAAACACTTTGAAAGCTTCACCGAGGCTTTGAATGTTACATTAGGGATGGGTATTGCAGAGAATATTCATATTGCGATATATTGTGATGCGAAAGCATGTATTGCGTGAAGTATTTTTAAAACCTACTTAAAAAACTACTTATAATCCAGTTACTGCTTGATTTATAGAGCAAAAACACAACAAAATCACTTTGCTTGATTAAGCTTTAATAACAAATTTTAATCATGTTAAGATAAAAATGTGAATAATACACTCTCCCAAAAAAGAAACGCATCATGAAAATAGCAATTTCACGTAGCAATGAATAAAAACGTGATTCATTTTACAAAAGGTTTTGCTCTGTTTATGAGTCCTATGGTGTTTATGTTTTGAGGCATCACAACAAAACGCACCATGCGTAAAACACCCGTATTTAACAGCATGATTTTCAATTCCGGCGTGTAGTGTCACAGAATACACAATTCACATACAATGCACGTGAAAGTTGGGGATCCGATAGTCTCAATGATGGGAATAAAAGGTTGATTGCTGTCTGTCGATTATTTACTGTATTTGGAATATTGTTGACGAACGCAAAATGCCACGTCTAAGTGAAGCCAACCGTCATATCGCCATTGGTTTGCTTGAAGCTGACCAGTCTCAACGTGCAGTTGCCCGACGCAGGAATGTTCATCAAAGCACCATTTCACGGCTCTGGGAGAGATATCGCCGGCAGAATGCGGTAGCAGATACCCCTCGTAGTGGGCGACCTCGAGCGACCACTGCGGCGCAGGATCGCTTCATCCGGGTACATCACCTGCGTCATCGAACAGCTACGGCGACCAGTACCGCTCGACAAATACCCGGATTGAGGAGGCTTTCTGCACAGACCGTCAGAAACAGGTTGGGAGAGGCTAGTTTACGTGCCAGAAGACCCTACTTTGGCCCTGTGCTTCGACAACAACATCGTCGACATCGAGTTCAATGGTGTACCAACGTTCAGGCCTGGAACCTACCGAATTGGCGTAGAATCTGGTTCAGTGATGAATCACGATTTCTATTGGAACGACGCGATGGAAGAATGCGGGTGTACAGACGTCGACGTGAACGTTTCGCCGACGCTTGCGTTCCCCAGGTGGACAGATTCGGCCGGGGGAGTGGTATGACGTGGGGAGCTATCACCTGCCGTAGGAGAAGTGATTTGGTGATGATCCAGGGCAACCTGACAGCACAACGGTACTGTGACGAAATCCTACGCCCATACCTCCTTCCAATCATTGAACAGCCAGAGGGAGTTGTTTCAATAGGACAATGCCAGGCCCCACACAGCACGTCACACTAGAGACTTCCTCCAGAACCACAACATCAATGTGCTCCCCTGGCCCTCAAGATCACCGGACTTAAACCCGATCGAACATCTGTGGGATGCCCTGGACAGACGGGTGCGACGCCGTAACCCTCAGCCCAAGACTCTTCAGCAACTCGCACAGGCACTACAGGCAGAGTGGGCTGCGATTGCGAGATTCTGAGACTAATTCGCTCGATGCCGAGGCGATGCTGTGCAGTTCTGGATGCCCACGGTGGTCACACGAGGTATTGACTTCAGCGCCACCACACGACTTTCCTCGAGTTGGTGCCAAAGGCGGATAAGTCTGCATTCCCAGTGTGCAATTTCGCTATATTTCATTTACTCAAAAACCTACAAGATGTTTCAAAATTAACATAAAATACAGTTGAAATTCCTATATGCGTTTCTTTTTTTGGAGAGTATATTTGGCACAAATGAAACAAGGAAATATCCGAAGATTTCCGAGTGTTACGACGTTTTCAAAATACCGGTTTTCGATCAGCGTATCGCAATACGTATCGTTTTCATGTCTGAACCGGTAAATACCCGTAAACCGGTTATATTGCGAAGCCCTAGTTGTAACCTTGATTATACAAACTTAGAGCAAGAGTTATCTCCCGAACATCTTCCTCGAAAGATTATACAGGATTGTACAAAAGTCGTCAAAAGTGAATTATGAATTTAGATACTTAAGGCCTGACCTGATGGAATTTTTCGTCAAAAAGGGAAAGTTGCACCCATCCCCTTTGTCATGCAGTCTTGCAGACAGGTTTTGCCACTCCTAATCTACTGAGTATTGAATAGTGGTAGACACTAAAGTACTGGCAATAGAAAAAAAACTGATTTTAGGCTGTTACTCTATGTCCCTAAAATTGACAAATTTATAAAAGGCATATATCGAAATAACCCACATCGGCCTAACTGGGCATTCAGTAGGATGCGTAATAGGATATCCAGAAAAGCATGTTTACTCGTAAAACCGGGCAAAACTTACAAAAAATATTAATAGCTGCTCAAAACAGTAGATCGGACTATAGATGACAATTAGGCCGCTCAGCCAGGTATGACGAAGGACCGTCGAATCACCTGGCATGAAATGCAAGTCTTGCCTACAAGCACCAGGGGTCATCTCATCTCATCTCATTTTCATGTGTGTTGACTATGTCTCATCTATTGATTAATATCTATAGATATAACGTTTATGTTGAGATGTGTAAAAGGGTATGATACACATGGAAAAGCTTAAATCAGCCATCGTATTCAATGTCTCAAAATATATAGGTGGCATGACCACCCAAAGATCGACAGAACTGGATATTATTTGTAAATAGTTATGACATGTCGTTTGCTTCCCCTAAAGGAATATCTTATCTCAGTTTTTATCTTTATCCCCCAGCCCGACCCCAACCACCGTCTGCGACACCCGTCCTAGATTTGCTTTTGAGACGACCCCTCCTACCTGTTTCTTTTTATAGTGAAAGTGAGACTCCATGGTAGCTACATCCTTCATAGTTTCAGTATTAAAGTTATTATATTTTACGCCACCTATCGTTTATAATGAAGCTAAGTTTAATTTAAAAATGGACATTTAAAAATTGCCCTTTGTAATATAATATCATCACACACTAATTTGCATAAAGACATGGTCTGTTCCAAATAAGTCCGCATTGCTCATTTCTGCACTAATCTCTCCTCAGTAAAGTCCTTTTTCTACGTTTCCTATCTCCCTACCACTGAGACTGTAGTTAGGCCAAACTTAGTTTTACAGATATTTCACACTTACACATATTAACTTACTACATAAATTGTAGATATCAATGCGAAAAATCAGTTTCTTTCTATTTCCGACAGTACTTTAGTGACATCCGTTAAAAATTACGTAATCCTTTGAGTTTTTTCTCTCTAAAATTTACATTTAATAATTTCCATTCTAAACACTGTGAATATATACATGTAGAACGTCCTTGCTTAATCTTGAGATAAGGATTTACTCGTACGTTAGCTATCAATGTCTGGCTCAGTGTGGAATCCAGAACAAAAGAGGAATGTACATGTCATCAGGTAATACACTTTGACATTGATAGTACGGTTGTCATGGTGAATTAATTCTCAGTTAAAGATTGCATTAAAGATACGTCACTGACACCCACTACTTTGACAAACCGTTAATGTTACTTGAACTTACTTGCAAGCAACTTCCGGTTGTGCATCAATCTCTTCTTATGCTCCTACACAGACATGTCAGACGATGTTTTATCCCACGATGGCGACAGTATATCTGACTGAAGGATACAAGGTCGTCCAGAACTCCATCCTCATCGACGACAACCGCGGCAGGACGTACGTCTTCAACCTTTCCGATACTTACGAAACATCCAGCCTTGAGTATGAAAGCACGGGAAGCAGTTCAGACCAGAGGCAGAGCATGGCTGGTATTATATTGGCGGACGGAGTGCGGGAAGTCAGTGTGATTGGTAAGTGATGGCAGCAGTTGCTGGATTCCTCTTTCTCAGCACTCTGTTGGGTGAGTGAGTGTGTAAGTGTGTTAGGTTTAACGCAAAGTATTAGTAAGCAATGTCACCAGAAATTAACCTCGCTTTCACAACATTATAATGATGGAGTTTTGATTGGTGGAATTTTGGATTGATGTTGGTTCATTGTATGTGTATTACGTACGTTTCAAGTAGGCGACCATATTAAGGACTTCTTAAGTGCTTCTCTTTGATATTTTCGATATTCGTGTCACATGCTATTTGGTTGATTGCAACAAGATCGCCGAACAACCTCGGCCATAGCAAGCTATGCGTTCCTAAAGCAATCATTTGAATATTCGTGTCTCTTGCATTACTGGATTAAAGATATGAAGATTGACCATCATGTTTATTCTGGAGTAAAACAGTAGGAACTGAAGTCCAACGCTGCTTAGAACAGAATTTCAGCTATTACCCCATCCATATTTAGTCACATTCACAGCAAGCTTGGCGTCCGATCGTGACGCGAAATCCCCACACAATTATTATGCCCTATAAACCTTTCGGATGAAATAAACGTTGATTTGGAACTGTTTACATACATGCGCAAACACTCCACTACCAACCCCGACAAATATACACACGTAACAATGGCGTTCCTTTGTATTCAGATGGTATGGTACGCTGCCTCCATCACCCATATTCTGACTCGCCTCCTACACCTTGTTCTGGTCTGAAACCCGTGACGTCCATCTTTGGAACTGATGACATCAACGCTCTCCTGCAACGGTATGACGGCAACGTGCTTCTCGGCTTCGGTCATTCCCAGGTGACCATGGTAAATGTCACCCTCAACGAAACCTGGCCAGTTGTAGGTACCATCGACCTGTCTCCAGGCAACCAGACACCCGGATGGACAGACATACCCCGGGGAGTGGTTGCGGCTGCATGGTTCGTCAAACAACCAAATTCTTTCAGCACTGCAATCTTGATAACCCGACACTACTACGTCGTGTACGACTTCGTCAACGACGCCATTCTGAAGAGAGGCCACCTGTGTCCCGTCATCGTGTCCTAGGCTGCAGCGTTGAAGCTGTCCACTGCACATGACGTCCAACTGCAGAAGTTGTATGACCATTTTGGTGACGCGCTTTCCGTCCACCCTTTGTCCTCTAACACAACAAAGATAGTAAGAAGTAACACGTCCTAAGTTCCTGTCCTGTAAATAATAAAAATCTAATATGTTTATGCCTCAAAAAAGAGAAACGGATGAACTGGAACTGTGTATCATTTAACTGTTACCATTATGTGCACTTTAATATGGTCAGTTTTTCTCAATAACTGCTGTACCCAGCTTGTTGATACTTCTCGTATGTATTTGTGATCATTCTTCAATTTTCGGGAGCCTTATATCATGTACGCGAGAAATGCCCGATGCCATAATTGTAAATGTTGCTGTGTTTGGCCGCAATGCTCCAGCGTGGCTTGGCTATTGCCTTTCACTCACATTTTTGGTATTATTCTACCCGCACAAATCACTTCCGATACTTTTGCGTTTTGGTCTTTCTTTGTAGAGGATATTTGAAAAGTTAACCATATTTTGTTGCCCGTGAAAACCAACCGTATATTGATGGTAGCACTATTTTGGTGAAGAAAGATAGCTTCGACGGAAGCACTGTCAAGGCATTTTTCCTTTGACCCCATTTTGAGTCTTCATGTCAGTAACATAACTGATGAGGCAAAGGCTTTCGCACGTCCAGATTGGATACTAATCGTCGGTCGTGCGTTTTGTTGACCAAATCTCGGTAAGTTGATTACGCCCCTTCCTGATGAGGATATTTGGTTTTTACAAATATATATACAAATATATATATTTACGGCAATATTTTGCCTTTTTGTTTCTAGTTCCACTCCACTGTATATAGTCTATCGAAGTCCACCATCGTTTAAGATTCCACCTGTGACGTTGTTGTACACTGATTAGCATTTATTAACATCTTATATGTTTAGATTACTTGAAGTTTTTGGGTAGCCAAGGCATTTTTCCTTTGACCCCATTTTGAGTCATTTTTCCTTTGACCCCATTTTGAGTCTTCATGTCAGTAGCATAACTGATGAGGCAAAGGCTTTCGCAGGTCCAGATTGGATAATAATCGTGGGTCGTGCGTTTTGTTGACCAAATCTCGGTAAGTTGAGTACGCCCCTTCGTTTGATGCTCATTATATTTCTGCTTCCGATTCGAACGAACTGGACATTAGGTCGAGTGACATTAGGTCGAGTGACTTTTTCAGACAGCATTGTTTATTGCAATTTATCGCGGTTAGATGGGTGTAAGTTTTGGTAACGTCACAAATACATTGATAATGTTTTACATGTCTTTTGTAAGTGAGTTAGATGTATTGCCGTCGTTCATTGGATTAGCGAGAAAGCTGCAAATGAGGATATTTGGTTTTTACAAATATATATATTTACGGCAATATTTTGCCTTTTTGTTTCTAGTTCCACTCCACTGTATATAGTCTATCGAAGTCCACCATCGTTTAAGATTCCACCTGTGACGTTGTTGTACACCGATTTGTATTTATTAACATCTTATATGTTTAGATTACTTGAAGTTTTTGGGTACAGCATGTATATAAATGCACACTATTTGTTTGATATGACGGAGTATAAAGTATTTGTTGGTTGGTTTGTATAGTTACGGAAACTCACTATGGTTTACTTAGTTTTTATGCAATAAATTAAAAGATATCATGAAATTATTTATTCAAATATGAAATGACAAGGTATAAATCATAGTTCAATAAATGTATGTTGCACTCCGGACAGATTCACTTCTACTTTCTGTATGGAGAGCTTGCAGTGTTGTGGTTGCTCAGAAATTAATTATGTGTGTCAACCTGAGGGGGTGTTCCCAAAGGGTCAAGGTCTGACTTTGGTACCACTCCTGATGCTCATTCTTGGTCTCGTCAGTTGTTAAACCGTACAGGCATATGGTGCTGGCAAACATAGCAACCGTTATCAATCTGGGATTCAAACCAACGATCAATGCTTCCTGGATGGGAACTGAGCGACTTAATCAACTGGGCCTTCGGGAGAGCATCTCCAGCATCATCACGGCGGACTCTATGTAGCTATGTAGGAATATCCCCTTACTTGTTTTTGTTTTAAATAGTATGTAATTATATAATGTGCAGTGGTACATTGTCAGACAATTTACGAGGGCTTCAAAGGTATTAACCTCCCCATTCAATCGATTCGCTCTTCAGTAGTAGAATTTTATGTCATAATATTGTTTATCAGTCCTTGTCAAACGTACGGATCACATCTTATCACAGCCGGACACTTCATCAGGGATTATGCTGAGTCTGGTTTATTATCATTTGGAGACAGTAGGCTATGGAAAAGGGCGAGTTCTGCCGAATGGGTTAAAATCTTACAGGGGCGATTCAGTCGGGCAATACGCATGGGGGCATTTGCATATGACTCTCAATTTATACAACTAAATTGAGATATGTAAAGGGTAGTTTCTCGTGCGTGGATTCATGTGTGAGGCAGTATCCTACTGAATACGAGTGTGGGTGCTGCATCACAGGACGAACTGAGCATTATCTGCCCTTACAAACTTGAGGAATTTGTCAAAGTATTCTGAAACCCTCAGAACAGACAACGATATAGTTCATTATATTTCTATTTATTTGTTTGATAATATTACTCCAAAATGTTCATGTTTTCTCAGGTATTTAATTTGAGTGACTGGTGTTTAATGACACACTCGGCAATAAACCAGCTGTCATGTACGATTATCAAGGAGCATCGTCTTCGGAGTACTTCTGACCACCCAATCACTACTCACAGCTAACATTGGGGGACTATTCTATACGTCCCCTTGTAGGACCAGTATTTAGTCCCAAACATACGTCCCCTTGTAGGACCAGTATTTAGTCCCAAAGATACGTCCCCTTGTAGGGCCAGTATTTAGTCCCAAAGATACGTCCCCTTGTAGGGCTAGTATTTAGTCCCAAAGATACGTCCCCTTGTAGGGCTAGTATTTAGTCCCAAAGGTACGTCCCCTTGTAGGGCTAGTATTTAGTCCCAAAGGTACGTCCCCTTGTAGGGCTAGTATTTAGTCCCAAACATACGTCCCCTTGTAGGACCAGTATTTAGTCCCAAACATACGTCCCCTTGTAGGGCTAGTATTTAGTCCCAAACATACGTCCCCTTGTAGGAGCAGTATTTAGTCCCAAACATACGTCCCCTTGTAGGAGCAGTATTTAGTCCCAAACATACGTCCCCTTGTAGGAGCAGTATTTAGTCCCAAAGGTACGTCCCCTTGTAGGGCTAGTATTTAGTCCCAAACATACGTCCCCTTGTAGGAGCAGTATTTAGTCCCAAACATACGTCCCCTTGTAGGAGCAGTATTTAGTCCCAAACATACGTCCCCTTGTAGGAGCAGTATTTAGTCCCAAAGGTACGTCCCCTTGTAGGGCTAGTATTTAGTCCCAAACATACGTCCCCTTGTAGGAGCAGTATTTAGTCCCAAAGATACGTCCCCTTGTAGGAGCAGTATTTAGTCCCAAAGATACGTCCCCTTGTAGGAGCAGTATTTAGTCCCAAACATACGTCCCCTTGTAGGGCTAGTATTTAGTCCCAAACATACGTCCCCTTGTAGGAGCAGTATTTAGTCCCAAAGGTACGTCCCCTTGTAGGGCTAGTATTTAGTCCCAAACATACGTCCCCTTGTAGGGCTAGTATTTAGTCCCAAAGGTACGTCCCCTTGTAGGGCTAGTATTTAGTCCCAAAGGTACGTCCCCTTGTAGGGCTAGTATTTAGTCCCAAAGGTACGTCCCCTTGTAGGGCTAGTATTTAGTCCCAAAGATACGTCCCCTTGTAGGGCTAGTATTTAGTCCCAAAGGTACGTCCCCTTGTAGGGCTAGTATTTAGTCCCAAACATACGTCCCCTTGTAGGGCTAGTATTTAGTCCCAAACATACGTCCCCTTGTAGGGCTAGTATTTAGTCCCAAAGGTACGTCCCCTTGTAGGGCTAGTATTTAGTCCCAAAGGTACGTCCCCTTGTAGGGCTAGTATTTAGTCCCAAAGATACGTCCCCTTGTAGGACCAGTATTTAGTCCCAAAGATACGTTCCTGAATTGCTGACTCCTACCTCACACACCTCAAAACAAGGACATTTAAAACATGGTATATAACAAATGTTATAATATCAAATCGAAATGGAACCCAGAAGAATATTTCATTTCAGACCTGCAGTTGCGACTTGAAACTGAAGACTTGAGACTTTTTAGTGTGAGTGTTTTAGTTAGTGGCCTGGCAGACTGGAGCAGGGTGCTGAGGGTCAACATTCTAAATCGGACTCTCCATTGGGAATACCAAGAACATATTCGGATGCAGGGGCGGATATAGACTAAGGCTTAGTCTCTGAATATATATAATTTTGATAGTAACAAACAAGCCCATTTATATTGAAAAGGAGCCCTAGGGAGACCAGAGCCTGAACCTGAGGAAATCTAGACTTGCTTTATTTAGGGCTTTAGCACTGCAGAGAGGGCTTGGCAGTAGGGAAATTAATGTGGTTCAGGGACTGTGAGACAGACTAGGGCGGATACAGCTTCTTGGGAAGGGGGGATGTACACTCTTGAGAAAAAAGAGGGTGCACACTACATTTTCACGGGTCATTTTATTAAACTTTCAGGACAGGGGGAGGTGGGGGGCGGGCACCCTTGCAAAAAAACCCAACAAAACAAACCACACACACACACCTCTGGAACCGCCTATGGGATGGAGTATAGTTTAAATGATCCACATATCGTAAGTTCCCACAATATAATACGGCGTTAGGACGGGGGTATTTGCTGCAATATTATCAATTTCCTTTTAAGACATTTAGGAGAGATACATGTAAAAGGGAAATGCGTTCCTCATGTTTCAGAAGTTGACATACATAAGTGTTCTCCATTATGAAATCGTATTGGTTGAAAAAGGTGAATGAACTTGATTCGGTTTTAAATTTTCTGATTTCAGATTGACTTTATCTACATGTATGTGGTGGGGAGTTCTACATATTTATCAGTTTGTTTTGTAAACCGATCATATTCATGATGAGAAAAATATTCCAAAGTATATGTGTATGGAGAAATAGGGGAAAAATATCTCGATAAACAAATAACGCTTTTGTGACCAAATCTAACAATTCTTACATGTACCTGCTGAAGCTGTCGTAAAATACACACATTTTACCTTTTCAAATGACTTCACAATGACCAAAGAGACCCCCAAACATTTATGTTCTCTGATTACAGAATATATTGTAACAACCATTCAATTCACGAACGTGAACGGATAATAAGAGTAATGTTGTATAAATGTTTTATATGTGATATTGATTGCTGTATAAGATAAACACCTTCTGGAAAACTGAAACAATTAGATGTATACTTCAGCGGGGTCTAAAGCAGAAACTGACGTTAATTCCCTTGCCACTCATGGGAAACTGTTCTGATTCCGTTTTAAACCTAGTGTTCTCATTTATATTCTTCCGGTGTAGTCGTTGCAGGTCCAAGAAAAAAAATGCCCCATAAAATGTTTCCACCTCGTCAGCATATCAGTAACCAGTGTCGGAACAAGCTTAGCACATACAACAGAATCAATACCGAACATCGGTCTTCCTGAGGAAGCTAGTTGCCGGCTACTTGTCATGCATGGGGTAGGCAAGGCCGGACGCTGGCGACACACATTTCCTTCTGCAGGGCTTACCTTGTACCATCACGCTTATCTGAAACATGAATCATTATGAAACAAAGCA